ATAAATTTTGCACTTTTTGAATGTGGTAGGGATAGCGATTATCTCCTTTTACAGTTCGCCAAATTGTTTGTGGTGACACTCCCAATACAGCCGACGCATTCCGAACGCTGGTCTCAGGATGATTGTCAAAATGTTGTAAAATACGATTCCCTGCCTGCAAATCTCTTCGTAACGCTGCTTGAAATCGGTTGTTTTCTTGTCGAATTGAAAATGTTCCAGTCTCTCGCAATCTATTAAATGTCAACATAAACACTCTTCGGTTTGGCACTCTTCTGTTTGGAAATCGTCGTGCATATTCTCGCACCGCCTTTAAAGCATTACCGTTGCAGAAACCGTATACAAAAACCATATCAGCATATTCACTATTAGAATACGTACGCGGCATATTGCAAAAGACAAAATTCATCTACTGTTAAAGGCTTTCAAAGAGCGACTGACAAATTCATAACAGAAAGTGGAAAATGTAATCAAATATGTCGGTGCTAGATATGGCAAGAAATGTAAACATTTTTTTTCGATTTCTCTGAAACGGAGCAAAAACGAGCATATGTCTATAGGACTTTTTTTCTTAGTTTTTTACTCCTCTACACGCTCCCGAAGTTTTGCCATTTAATTTGGAAACACCCTGTATAGCACGCTAAGAAAATGCAACATAGAATTATTTAAAAAAATTTTGTTTTAAAATATTTTTTTCTATCAGTCAAGGAAAGAGATTCCCTTTCGCTTTTTTCTTATAAAACTCTCTCATTGTAATATTTAAGTTTATATCAATTATAAAAAAAAAATATATACATCGAAGGGGCATTAAGAGTCAGCGCTGAAAATCAATTGCGCAGAACTTACAGAAATTACGTGAAAATTTTATAGAACGATTATTACCGACTAATGCCCGTATTCATAATCAGGCCTTATATTTAAGGCTTCCTTAAATTTATCTTCAGATACTCTACGAATTATTTCATTGGCATCTAAAGATAAATTTAAGGAAGCCTTAAGTACAAGGTCTAACTATGAATACGGATATAAATCTCAAAACAACATGACTGTTTTTTTATTCTTTAATTTAATTTTTCTTTGATTTTAATTTTAATTTGTGACGGCTATTGATCGATTCTCATTAATTTCGACGATATATATATATATATATATATATACACTTTACGATGTGTGGTTGCGGCAGCTATGTGCTTGAGACTGACGATCCTACTCAGCTATGCACCTGTTTGGTACAACATTTAAGATGTTGATGATGGAGATTCTCACTGCATCGCAGCTGTAATCACGTGATGGTGAATGCGTTTCCACGACATTATTGTTTTATTAATTTCGAGCTGAAGATGACTCAAAATGGAGCCGAAATGCTCTAAAAAATTTTCGCGTTATTTCTGTAAGTTTTGCGCAATTGAATTTCAGCGATGACTCCCCTTCGATGTATATATTTTTTTATTATTAAGTAAAGGAGTCTCTATTAATTGATTTATTGTATTTTTATATCAATTAAATTTTATTATAAATTTATTATATCAATTAAATTTTCCAATAAAAGTTGTAATATTAGTTCGTCATATTATAAATTATTCAACATTTAAATTATTAATTTCAATTATCATTTTACTATATACATTTACAGTTTAACTGAATAATTTAACTGGATTTCATATAATAATCTTATTTAATGTATCCGTATCAAAATAATTATCATTTCTCTCTCTCTCTCTCTCTCTCTCTTTCTGCAATGTTTTTATTGTTAACATATCCTTTTCCAGGCAGCCTGAACTTATTTCTTGTGCCAATCGGCTGCTTAGCGAGCGGACCGGTGTCGCAGTATTTGGGAAGAAAACGAACAATGATGCTGGCAAATATACCGTTCGTTGTAGCTTGGCTGATATTTTACTACTCCACCAATCCCGGAATGTTGCTTGCGGCGCTCGCGATGACGGGCCTGACAGGAGGCCTTCTCGAAGGTCCAGTTATAACTTATGTCGCCGAGGTGACGCAACCCTATCTGCGAGGGATGCTCTCTGCGACTTCCTCGATGTCGGTGATCCTGGGTATCTTCACACAAATGTTGAGCGGCAGTTTGGTCCATTGGAGAACGGTGGCGATGATCAATCTGATTTATCCGATTCTTTGTTTTCTCGCTTTATGCTTGGTGCCCGAAAGTCCACACTGGCTCGCCGGTAGGTCATCAATCAAATTATTTATTATTTTTATTCACAAATTTATCAAATTTTTATTATTAGCTTATTTTTGTTCTTAAATTATTTGTTACTTATTTATAAAAAAACATTAGCCAATTATTATTTATATTTCTTCCCAACTATAAGAATTATAAAACGAGCAATTATAATTAAATATTTATCGTCACTTTCTATTGTTTTAAATAAAAACTTTTTCCACCATTTTTTTGGAGGAAATAAATATTGTAAATATATGTGTAGCCTAATCTTGTATAAAAATATTTTTAAGAATTAGAGTTTTAAGTTTTAAATGATAGGTACAGAAAATCGGTTTTTTCTAGTTAAGGGTCGTCTCAAGGAATCAGAACATGCTCTCTGCTGGTTACGGGGTTGGGTAAACCCATCTTACGTGCATAATGAATTTGGAGCGCTTTGCGAGGCGATTCAAAAGCCCGATAATACCGGCTCTGAAAAAGAAAAAATTTGGCAAGCCTACACGGATCGAACTTTCTACCAGCCTTTCTTTTTGGTCAGCGCGGCATTCTTTATCAGTAACTTCGGCGGCTGCACGACCCTGCAGACCTTCGCCGTTATAATATTCGCGAAATTGAACGCGCCGATCGACAAATACACTGCCACGGTATTCCTGGGCGTAGCCCAGTTAATAGGCATCACAATCTGCGTATTGACGATCCACCTTATGGGAAAACGCAAGCTGTCCTTCCTTTCGGTCGGCGGTACCGGATTATGCTTCCTCACTACCGCTATCTATGGTTATTTGAACGATGCAGATTACTTGGACGGGGTCAAATACAGCTGGATACCTACTACCTTCATGATAAGCGGTGCTTTTATGTCAAACATTTGCATCAGGACGCTGCCTTGGATTCTCGCTGGAGAGGTGTTCCCCGTAAAAGTGAGTGTATTTTACATTATTATTTATATTTTTCTTTTAATATTTTCAAGTTTTAATCTCTGAGGTTGTTTAAATTCCGTTTACATTTAATTGTCAAACTACTTCTCTTTTATTAGATCAAAAAAGGTCTGAATCACACTTCGGTTTTCACATACTTTATTCAGAAGCAACGACAATTATTCCTCAAAATACAGATCATCATGTTTAATAACCATTCGCCAATCTGCTAACTGCCGGATTTGATCTCGGTACCTCCTTAGATGAGCTTTAACTTTTTTGACAGTCGTCCTAGCAAGAAGTTTTTTATTGAACAAAACAAACCATAATCAAACGATGCAAGATATAACTACACACAGTATGATGAACACATGATATAAATACTATATCATGGTATAGGATTGATATCATCTAAACGAATAGTATCTAGAATGAATCCGGCACCTAGACTGTTGGCGAATTGGTTATTCAACATGGTCTTTATTTTAAAGAATATCTGTCGTTGTTTCTGAAATATTTGTATATGAAAACCATTTTGCATGTAAAAATCGAAGGACGATTCATAATTTTTTTGACAAATTAATATCAATCTAATAAGATCAATCGATCTTTCTAAATCATGAAGATTGAATTATTATTAAAACGCTTATGAACATATATATTTTTCTTGATCTCACAAGGGAACGATACGAAGTGTTAAATTCTGATTTTAATGAAACTTTGTATACATATAGGTTACGTAAAAAGATAAATTTAGAAAATATTAGTTGTGGCGAAAAAACGGTTAAATATTTTTAAAAAACCGAAAAAAAAATTTTTTAATTAAAAAAATGTTTATTAAAAATATTATTGACGTAAATGACTAGAAGTAATTTTGTTGTAAACCTTTTGTATAAAACATTTTTTATATTTCAAATAATTTTCGAGGAAAAAACTGAAAACTTTACCACATAAGGAGTGATCAAATCGCTTTTTCACTGCAATGAACATTTTCTAAATTCATCTTTTTATATAATTTCATTAAAATCAGAATTTATCACTTCGTGTGGTTTCCTTGTCAAATGATTCCGAATTCGTCATCAGGTACGCAGCAGCGCAACCGGCGCGGCTGGTATGATTGCCTATATCATGGCGTCGATCGCGAATAAAACCTTCCTCTACATGGAGAACAGCATGTCGCTGCCCGGGACGATTTTCTTCTACTCTATGATTAATCTTGTTGGTTTGTGTCTACTATACATGATATTACCCGAGACCGAGGGTAGAACTTTACAAGAAATCGAGGAGCATTACGCCGGTATACAGAACTTGAAGGATCGACCGAGGAAGGATCAAAAGGCCACCAAGGAAAAATGGGCAATCGAGAATCCAGCAATCGTACACGATGAGAGTACCGAAAGTAAATTGTAGGTCTAAAACCGGCTAGCAACTCTTTCGCGAATTAAACTACATTATTAACTATATTATTGCATTTTGAACTCTTTTCACGATAAAATTATTTCGAAAAAAATAGATTCCGCAAAAAACGTTATGGTTATCAAAACAAAAATTATTATATTTTTCGTCCATCAATATAATTTGGTTGTGATAACTATAGTACGGTTGTGGTATAACTATAGTATGGTTGTGATAACCGCAAAGTGGGAAGATATCTTAACAGTTTATGGTCCGGTTGTTTATTATCTGGTTAACTTATGGTTTGGCTTATGATGATGTCATGGATGAAGTCCATTGGGTGAAACATCAGATTAAACTTAACTACAAGTGAACCAGATAATGAAAAATTGGGCCTACAGCTCAACCATACTATAGTTCTTACAACCAAATCGTATTGATGGGCGAAAAATATTATTTTCAATTATGGCAATCATAATATTTTTTTCGTATATTATTGTATTTGTTATATTATACTTTAAATTATGCAGAAAGGGAATTTTTTTCTACATACGCAATTTCTTTCTACGTACATCTATGATGCTTGTACAAAACGCAAATATATACATATTTTTTTAATAGGGACTATATATATATATATAATTGCGGATAATATTTAAATTTGGATAATATACGTATGTATAATTCCGGTTATAACATGGACTTAAGTATATAATTGTGCGGTTTACTTTGCTACTTAATGCAAATTACAAGTCGGACGAGAAGAAGTTGCTTCGTGAATAGATGAATAGATGAACATCTGCAATAAGGAGAAGTAAGATCGCAAATAGTAAATCAAACGATTCTTTCGAGGAAAATTTCCGGGAAAAGATTAAAAAAGCAATATGTTGAAGAATGTTAGGAAATAGTATTTTTATTTATTATTTTATATTATTTAAAAGAAAGACGCAGTTGCCAAAGTGTTTTTGATATTACTGCTGATATTATTGCTGATATTATTGATATTATTGCTAATCTTTAGAAATGCAGAAATTGATTTTTCTATTCTAAATTGAACTCGGTAGTTCCCAAAATATTATCATATTTACCATATTTCTCACATTTGCCATATACTAAATTAATTAATTAAATGAAAAAGAAAATAAATTTCTAAAGATTAGCAGAATACTTGACAGACTTATTTTGTTGACTTTTAAGATTCATTTCTTCATTATTGCTTAGGAAAGCTTTTACATTTTATGAAGACTCTTGCATTCTTTTATTGCGATTAAATATATTGACATAGAGGTTTATAAAAAAATCGAAGAAATAACAAGAACCAAATAGAAATAAGCCTTATTAACGCTATTGCGTTTCATATCATTCTTCTCTGTGATGAATTGACAACTTATACTAAATGTAGAATATATAATATATATTAGTAACGTAAAATTATATTATATTTTCATAATACACATTATATTTTCATAAGTAAACTTGAATATCGCTAACAAAATATCGCTAACTTTTACATTCTTGATAAAAAATTTTTATTAGATAGATGTGTATATATTAGACTTTATACACTACTCAACAAAATTAAAGGATCACTTGTTCCATCTTATAAAAATAGGCAAATTTCAAGATAGAATAACTTCGTCAAAAGTCATCGTATCGAGATGTTTAAAAAAATTACTTTAAAGCTTGAAATCTCTACTTTTCAGATCAGTACTTAAAAAAACGATCTTGTTGATATTTTGTGAAGTTACATAAACATATATGAAAACGCATCAGATATCAAAATTTTTTACGAAATTTGTCGGCGCGAATTAAAAATTTAACCATTATTATACAATTTTTTTTACTGAATGATTTGAAGTGAATAGTACATTTTCCAGTCTTTTCTCTAAAAATTTTTGAAAATTTCTAAAAATTTTTAGAGAAAAGACTAGAAAATGTACTATTAATTTCAAATCACTCAGTAAAAAAAATTGTACTAATGGTTAAAAACCATTTTAAAGAAAGTGTTAAACTTAATTTACAATTAAAGAAATTCGTTATGGCTTTAAAATGCTTTTTTGAATATCACTTTGCGACCATTCTTCGCGGAGATATGTGAAATTTGAATTTAGTCTTTTTTAACACTGATTTTAAATAACTTCAATTTTGTTGAGAAGCAGCAGGCAAATTTCAAGATAGAATAACTTCGTCAAAAATCATCGTATCGAGATGTTTAAAAAAACATTTTAAAGCTTGAAATCTCTATTGTTTAGATCGGTATTTTAGAATATCGTCTTACTGATGAAGTTACACAAACATAAATGAAAACGCATCAGATCACAAAATTTTTTATGAAATTTACGAAATTTTACGGCACGAATTAAATATTGTTCACAAATACGGTTTACAGCTTTCGAAAGAGTAAATCTTTACTTTTAATTTGCTTTTTTATTGATCTCTGTACGATTTTTTTTCATTGAGTTATTCAACATCGAAGCAAAAAGGGTCGTTTTTGCTTCAACGTTGAATAACCCGATGAAAAAAAATCGTACGAAGCTTCATAAAAAAACAAATTGAAGGTAAAGATTTACTTTTTCGAAAGCTACAAACCGCATTTGTGCGCAATTTTTAATTCGTGCCGACACTTCGCAAATTTTGTAAAAAATTTTGATATCTGATGCGTCTTCATTTATGTTTATTTGACTTCACAATATCAACAAAATCGTTTTTTTAAGTATCGATCTAAAAAGTAAAGGCTTCAATCTTTAAAATGCTTTTTTAAACATCTCGATACGATAATTTTTGACGAAGTTATTCTATCTTGAAATTTGCCTATTTTTATAGGATGGAACAAGTGATCCTTTAATTTTGTTGAATAGCATATTTTACAAATCGGTTCCTTTATATTGTAAAATATAATAAAGAATCTATATATAATGTACGTAATATAAATTATTATTTTTCGACAAACTAAATAAAGGGAATTTGATATACTGATATAGTTGAAATCATTTATTGTTCATAATTATGCAACTAAAATTATCCGCATACAGTAAGTATAAATTATATTTTTTTTAAATTAAGGAATATAAAGAGATTTAGCTTTCATCTTCTTTCTTTTATCTTCTTTCGTCTATATACATATGAAACACATGTCTAATTCTTTTTATTTTTTTCAAATTAAGTTGTGTCTTGTTTTCATTTTTACAAATTCGCGATATTGCCTTATCGCTTACACTATGTACATATGTTAATATGGATGTGTGAATGGAATGTCCACAATATATTGAGCTCGGGTACTTGAGTTTACTAACAATAAGCCCAAATAGCTGTGCGGATCAATTATCCCTGCGGGAACATAAATTAATCGAGAATTCCACGATAATGCGATCATTTATTGATTGAAGCATTGCATCAATTTAAATCAATATTGACAATGATGAAAAGATTTACTAGCCGACAGGAACAGAGGAGAGCTCGTGGTTCTTCAGTTTTACTGTAGATGGAACATGTAGTCTTTCGTATTTAAGAGATACATTGATTATGAATTTCACACTAAATATATAAAAGAAAAAAAGAGAGAGAAAAGAAAGATAAATTTTCACAAATTAACATTTCACAAATTCACATTTAAATTGATTAATTTTTTTTTCTTCAGAAAAAAGAAAGAAAATTTTACTGGATTAAAATTTTTGGTACACAATAAATTTTTTAAAAATTATCAAATTTAATCAAAAGATCTGTCAATCACTTGTTTCATTTTTTTCTTTTTCCTTAATGATAATGAAATTTTTTAATTACATATATAAAAAGAAAGATACAAATTTAATCTCTCCCAGATTAAAAATATAAAAGAATTACTTCGAATCGATGTTTGCCAATGTTATACAAGGAATAAAAGATTTTAAGCTTTTAATCAGAAAAAGTCTTTATGTATAAAATCCTAATTAAAATATTTTTCTATCGGAAAGGAAATATCTGATGAGACCGATAATAATCATCGTTACCGCAATCGATTTACGAATCTCGCAGGATCGAACTGGATTGGAGAAAATCACGGAAAGTCATTCGAAGCGAGATATCCGCGGGGCATCCCCCGGATCAACAAGTGTTCTCTCTCTCCCCCGGCGAACGTGTGTGCTTCTATTCACGATTATATTGATGTCAGTCGGGGTTGCTGGTAGCGCAGGCGCGGATCTACCCCCGGATCTGGTCGACGACGGGCGGGGGTCGTACGAAATGGTCGATATTTTAGCTATAGCAAAGCGGGTGGTCTACGGTGCGCGAGACGCTTCAACGAGATCGGTCAGTCCAGTCTCCTTACATTCGCTGTTACGAAATAAACTCCCCCTGTCGTGTGCCGTGCTGGTCAGTGCGAGACATCGCGAGAGAACGCGTTGTTGCAACGAGAGGGAATATCCCCCGTCTGCGCTTGGCCGCCCGTTATCCCCCTCCTCGCGCGAACCCCCCTCGTGCGTTAAATATTAATCGATCGGCAGCCGAGCGCAGCGCAGCGCGTGGTGCATCCCGTCCGTCGTCGCATCTCTCGTCGCAGCCGACAACCGACGGCGAATCCGTGTGGGATTTCCCACGTCGACGATCACAGCCGAGGAGCGATCCGTCGTCCGCGAAGGGAGACAGCTTCCTTCCCCATCCCCAGGGAGTGACTCTTCCAGGTGACACCTCGGAGCACTTCCGCGAGAATTCGTTCGCGATCGTTAAAAGATTCAGGAACTCGCGAAAGAGGTTTTCCTCGCGAAAGTAAACGCGTCGATAGCTTGCTTATTGATTTCCTACCATATCTCTCTCTCTCTCTCTCTCTCTCTTTCTTTCTTGTTCTTGCTCTCTCTTTCTCTTACTCTCTTGATCTCTCATGGCCCCTGCCTATCTCTCATTTCGATATTCCCACTTTCTGAATATGTTTCGTCTTGTGTATTCTCCATTCTTCTTTCTTTCTTCTAGTTTTATATAAAATGCATACTTATGCAAAAAGTACACAGATTGGAACGAATTTGCCTATTTCATGTATGCTACCTTCTCTTTTTCTTTTCTCTATTTTTTAAATCTAAATTTCTCATATGTTATCCCACAACTTGTCGAAAGCTTGACCCAATACACATGGCGACGATAAAGCCTCCTCTCCCTCGGTCTCTTTTCCTGCCAGTCGTAAAACTGCGGGCATGATCGCCTGGCCTTTCATTCACTCGAGCTCACTTTCTGCGTTTCATGCGACGCCGTAGAGTCGTCGTGACGTAGACGACCACGCTCTGGCCTCGTCCGATCAATTCCTCATTCGACCATTTATCCGTTTCACGACATCCTCTTCCGTATTATTCCTCGGTACTAAGATTTCGCAGAGGATTGCCCTGTGCCATGAATACCTTCATTCGACTTTTTCATTAATCATTGAAGCTAATGAGAAGAGGCGAGATAAAAGAATAGGCCGATAAGTTAGCTCACTGTCATCCAACACCCAGCTGAGTATCGGCTTCCATCATCGGATGCGAGAACTGACGGATTGATTTTTTTTTAGATCTTCCCCGAATAGAAAGAATGATCATTAATCTTTTCGAAACTCCTGGTACATAAGAATACCATAATTAGTTTACGAATTAACCAGCTCATGTTCATAAATTTAAAGTGAAATGACATATTATTGTAGAAATCAATCAAAACATGGCATGATATTCCGTCGCACATTACGTAAAATATTTTATTTTTTGTACAAAATTAAAAATTAAAAAAAAATTTTTTTTAAATTAGTTTTACATTTCTCAATTAGATCACCTTCCATTTTTTAATCATTTTATAGTTATCGGGCTTTATTAGGTTGTTAATACAATGAAAGAGTCAATTTTAATAATCTTACAAGATGGAAAGCCATCGTGTGACATTAGTCAGCTGAACGTTTCAAAGGGATTAATTGCATGTCCTCGACGTAGGCGCGCCGGGCGGCTGTTCAAAGACTCTGCTCCTTTACGCCGACGCGCGTGCCTCTGACGGTTCTGACGTAAACGGAGGCTCCATCTTCCGTCGCCGTTCATTCTACGGATGCACTGAAATCGAAACTACGTAACTACGAACGGGCGGTGCGAGAGCATGGAAAGCGTGGGCGGGCAACCGGGTATGACAATCGATTTGCCTCCAAAAATATTTGCCCCCTCGCTGGCTCCGCCGTCGGAAATCAATGGAATCGAGCGTGGCCGCGGATCGGACGACACATCCATCAGAAGACGATAATTGTAATCTGACCCGCCTCGAACCGAGTTGTTACGAGTTAAACGAGACCGAAGAATTAAAACCAGAATAATTCTCTTTCCTTTTATCCTCGAATCTGCATGGAACACGAAAAAAATGTTTTATTAATTGTAAGATATTAAAAAATTTAATTATAGATACAAATAAGAAAATAATCTGTTAGACTATCAAAATAATTATGTAAGACGCTCAAGTTGATTGCTAGAATGTCAAAATTTTTTGTAGCATTATTCATTATGCTTGAGTTTCTTACATAATTACTTTGATGGCTCAACAAAATTATTTTCAAATCTGTATCTAATTAAATTTTTAGATACTTAAGCAAAATTGTTCTTTCCATATGACTTTATAAATTCTAATTTCGGATCCTATTATGTCGACTCTATCACACTAATTTGACATATTGTTGCACCTCACGAAGTTATTCTCGTTGGATTTAATAATACGGATATCTTTGTAATCTTTGCGGATATTAAGGCACACATTTCAATAGGCCTTTAAAACGAAAGTTCCCGGCAAAATCAGAAATTCAATTAACCAATATGTAAAGAAACAGGATATCGAATAAAGTTCTCGATCAGCGAAACGTATTGCTAGCAACCGCGATGTAAACTGATAATGAAACTGAAATTGTAATTTCGTGCGAAAACGAAGTTGCCAAGAAGAAATGGACTTGTCCCGCCGTCGTCGTCGTACCATCGATTTCCGTAACTACTTGACCTCCGTAGAACGCGCGTCGCCTCAATCATCATCTGTCCACCGAGACACGCTCAATTACTTTCCACCATCCGTCACGGAAATCGTCGTAACATTGTACAACAATGCTCGCAGGTGGTGACATACCTGCACTTTTCTTTTTTTTACGAGAACCGACCGTTGTTAACGTTGACATGACATACGGCGCCGATATCGTTATCGCACACGGAAAACCTTGTCCTACTTTTTCTTTAACCGTGCCATCTAATACGTGTGCAAGCGTATGTGTGAGTGCGTGACGCAATCTTCCGGATGAGATTTTATCCTCTCCCTTTTACGCCTCGCGAAATAATTATATGCAGTGCTCCCTGTGTAATTGTCGCGGTCATTTTGTCTTGATTGCATTCGTTTAACGCATATTAACTCCGAGCAGTGATACATGAGCCACATGAGCCTCTGAATACGTGCTAAAAGAATTCGCGAGTTTAATCTGTAATTTGGCCTCAAGTTCCTCTTGTCGAGAAAATGTCGAGATATTAATAATGTTTCAATCACATGTAAGTGAAAATTTCAAATGTCAAATTAAATTCAGCGAAATGAAGTTTGACGATAAAATTTTAAATGCAAACTCGGTAAATTTAATAAAACTGCACGATCTTATAAAAAACAATTTATTCCAATCAAATTTTAATAATACTTTCTAACTGGGATAATTATGATCTAAAGGAATCGCGAAAGAAGATGAGAAACTTTTATCGAAATTCTAAGAAAAAAGTAGGTTTCAAATCCATCAAAGATTGTTTTCAAGCATGTTCTACGTTCTGTGTCATATATAGTCAAACTTTATGTAAACAAGATCTTTCTAAGTTCTTGTCAGCGGATGAACAGGCCATATTTTTTTTACTTCTGAAATAACATATAGTGAATCGAGCGCGAAATCGATAGGTACCTACTACCGGATTTAAAAGTTTCTTGGCTCACCCTCGGTTTTACATTCGTGCAAGTAGTATTTATAGTTCTCGATCCATCAATTTATTTCCAACCGCAAGTATAGCCATGTTACTTTTGACGAGTCAATAATCGATCAGTTGGAAGAAATTTCTTCTTTTGCACTTTATCACGAGAATGATTTTCGCGACGAGAGAGAGAACAAACTGCGACGAAAGGTGATACTTCCGTTAATTACTGTCACATTGAATAGATTAGATGTTCCGTTAAAATGAATTTTCCCTCATCATGTAAAGGCTTCGCCTATTTCCGTAACACATCATTTGACACAAACAACTTCTAAACTTCGAGAAATAATTGTAAAGTGACAATGTTGTGTCGCGCATATATTAATTAATTGAAGTATACTTTCACATAATATGCATACTCGTTATTTGTTATATTCGTTATTTTTATATAAGATCAGTGCTTCTGATACTTTTCAACATATTACAAATATAAGCTGTTGCTTTGAGTCTATAATATGTTTAGTAATATAATAATATTCAGAATATATATCTTTATTCTAGACATGTATTTGAAACTGTGGAATAAATTTTCTTATCAGAATTATTCCGTTTTCTCTAAAAATACAATAGAAATATAGGGAATAATTGAACAATTCCGAATAATTCCATAATACGTATCCTCTGGAATCGGATTTATTAAGAACAAATATTTCTTGAATCTAATCTCTAACAGAGCGTCAATTGGATATAAATAGAAATCAATTTTAATTTTAATATTTCTACCTTAATTGACGAAATTAGCGTTATATTTAATATATGATTAAATATATTTAAAAAATAGCGTAAGTTTTCGCTTAAAATTTCTGAAAAAATCAGATAAAAATTTATCATTTAATTCATTTACGTAACACTAAAGAGTCAAATGGCAAAACTAAGGCAACACGAACGCGATCGTACGCACCTGTACGAACCGCAGACTATCGCTCGCAAGTCCGATTATCGTCGTCGACACGTCGTCACGCGTGTGGAAACAATACGGTGGAACAAGAAACGGAAAAAAGAACCGCGAATCGCCACGTTGTTCATTCGGACCAGTCTTTATTCGAGTTTAATAATTTCGCATTAACGTGATGCTCTTTACGCAGGAATGAAGTAATTCCTTTATTATTCCCTCAAATTTTTCTCGGTTAATTAATTAAGCGCGTTGAATACGCGGAGAGGCACATTTTATTTTGCATTGCGTCAAGGAAGAAAAAATAGTGAAAATAGTGTGTCGAAAAAGTGATCGACGATAATCGACAATTTTACCAACATAAACATCTATTGAAGGAAGATTAAAACAAAGCGGAGTGTCAAACAAATATCTCGTTATTTAATAATAAATCTATCGAAATAAATATTTAATGAGACAATTACTTGTACAAGATTAGAGAGACAAGCAGTTAATGAGTTTTAGCTAATGAAATGAGAGATTATTAATAAAACGGTAAATGAATTGCAGACAGCAGGATGAGATTAGAGACAACTGGAATAAAATGGTTAATAAATTGCAATCAATAGAAACTAAAGCGGACTGAAAAATCGATCGGGAATGTGATCGAAAGCTGCAATAAAAGAAGAGTGTAAAAAGAGATCGATTGGGTGTCGTATTGGTGTGACGTTTGAGATGTCGAGGAGGTGCGAGAACACGTCCTACACTCCAGTTAAGGATTCCGTTTTCGAGCTACGCACGCGGATGGCCCGGATGCTGTCTATCGTCGAGATTACCTCACAGAGGAATAATCCGGTATCGGAATATCGACTCGACATGAGTATCCGTTAGCATGAATGCTGTTTCGTCGAGCAAAGAGAGAACTAACTAACGGAGGGAAAACGCGCGAGAAAATTCAATGGACTTCAATTGAAACTCATGCGGGATAATATTAACGATTTATATATTCCATGATCGAGTGATTTAATTGAATTTTCCGTTTGTAATTTCAATTGAAAGACTTGTGAAAATAATTATATGATAACGCGCGAAGTTAACAATCGACCAAAAGAGCATTAAAATGCTAATAAAAATTTAATTTTCTTTTTATCCCTATTCAAAATTTGTTTACGTTGTTTAAAACTAAAAATTAAAGATATTATAATATTTTAGTACTTCAAATTTTTAAAAAAGACTAAAAAAATTTTTTTATTTTTCAGAAAAGATTTTAAACATCAAAGCTTTTTCAATTTTTTGAACGGCCCATTAAACGGTCGATTCATGATTCGATGATATCGATAAAATGTGCATATTGCAACTGTATTTTTGAACGTTTGCAGTTACATAGTTTTCAACCCTGCTTTGTCAGTGATCCAAAAAAGTATTGTAACTAGAATACCATACAGTTTTGTATTTATTTGATATTTCGCTTCTGTTATAATTTACAAAAGAAAAACTTTCAACAAGAAAAACTGTTCGATAAATAATTCCCCCGAAAAGTTTTAAAACTACAGTTTTGAAGCTGTAATATTTTTTATTGGTGTTATTGAATTGATTCCAAAACTGACTCTGCGAGATACAGAGTAAAATAAAATTTCTCTTGTGTGGCTTTATGCTCAAACTTTTCGATATTTTTATCCAACGTTTTCGTAAACGTGACCAAGCAACCCGATAAACCATGACAAATTTCGCAACAGTAGTAAGCTCATCTATTGCATCGTACACCTTCCTTTTGTCCATCACGTCCGATATAGAACAACGAGCAGTTTTACGACGTGCACGTTCACACACACACACAAAGCCAATCACAATATACAATCTCGTGTATCTTTCTTTTAAATCGTTAACCCATAAGTGTTACAAAACATGGAAAAGTATAATAAATCACTTGTATAATTTCTATAATTATTAATCATAAATTATGTATTACATTTTAAAAAATATAAAAAGTAATACATGTTAATTTTAATACATTTTAATATATTTTAATTTTAATACATTTTAATATAGGGTAACTCCGGCAAATACGCCGCGCTGGGATTTACGCCGCAGAAGTCAGAAAAAATAGGAGTGGGGATAATTTTCCCGTAACTACTCTGTTACATGCCTTCATGTTATATTAGTATTGTGTTATGATGTCAGCTTCTTACTGTTAATATTAATGAATTTATTGTGAGTTGAATCGATTGGTCACTGTAATAAGTAACGCCATCATAAGTTATAATTTACATAAAATGATTAATGTAGGACGTGTAAAAGACTTAGTGGTTATTACGTGATACATACGTGTAGTGGAATAGTAAAGCATGTTTGTATTATTAAGCATGTTTGCATTATTTGTAAATTTTTCATAAGCCGTACATACTCCCTTTCTCCCTATGAGTAGCTATACTATATAGTATATCCCACCCCTATGAGATATGCGACAAAAATACAAAGTTTCAAAAAGTTTATTTTTTAATATGAAAAATAAATATTTCGGATTTCTAATATTTTTTTCATAGTAGTAGACAGTACAAAGTTTTTACTGATATAATTCGTTTACTATAAACATAGTAAATAATACTTAATAAATTAAATTTTTGATAGGTGCGGCGTATATATTGGAGTTACACTATTTTAATTTTAATACATTTTAATTTTAGTCTTACAATCAAATTTTCTCTATTAATTTGAAAAATTAATAAGTCTTTCCATTTATAATTCATTTATAATTTTTTAATGTATATATTTTTAAATGTACCTATTTTTAAATTTATATATAGACCTAAAAATATAGAAATTATTTGAATTTGTAAATTCTATATTACATAAAAAAATAAATTCTGAAATTTATTTTTTCTCTGAAATGTTAAATCCAAGAATTGATAAGAATATTTTCATTTATGATTTTTTTAAATTTATGAATTCTTTAATTTAGATATAAAAATATAAAAATTATCTGAGAGAATTGATAAATTGAGATAACACGAATAATTCCTTCATAGATGGCGCGTCAGGATGGCAGAGATGCCGCGGATCAAAACTTCGATTATATGTTTAAACTGCTGATAATCGGCAACTCGTCTGTTGGCAAGACTTCCTTCCTCTTTCGCTACGCAGACGATTCTTTTACTTCAGCTTTTGTGTCAACCGTAGGGATCGACTTTAAGGTGAAGACCGTCTTCAGACACGACAAAAGGGTCAAGTTACAAATCTGGGTCAGTATAATCAATGTATTATGCACGTATAATATAATTTTCTGACGAAAAGCAGCCATTATGATATTAACATGGATTATTCAAGATTAATATGTCATTAAAATAATGACTTGCCTATATAAGGAATATATGTTTTTAGTTATTTCTTAAATTGGCATTTCAACAATCTGTCTTATAAAAAATTTAGAAATGCCGTATTGCAAGCAATGCTCCGCATGCATGATTATATCCATTTATAACATAAAATTACACCGCATATTGTTATCTTTACAGGACACGGCGGGTCAGGAAAGATACAGAACGATCACGACGGCCTACTACAGAGGCGCGATGGGTTTCATCTTAATGTACGACATCACAAACGAGGAGTCCTTTAATTCAGTCCAAGATTGGGTCACGCAAATAAAGAACTACTCGTGGGACAACGCCCAAGTAATTCTTGTGGGCAACAAGTGCGATATGGAAGAGGAAAACTTCGAAACTTCTGCCAAAGAGAACATCAATGTCAAGGTACGTGTCACAAATTCGGTAATTGACTGTTTATTAAATAAAAAGCATAAATTTCTTATTTCTAAAAATATGAAATTATTATTATGTAGATGATTTTAGAATTTTTGTTACCATTCTATTTCTATAAAATGATATAAATAACTGTTATTCAATTAATAATTGTCTAATTAACTTGTTTAATTAACAATTTAACTGTTCATAATAAATTTTTGGAAAAGCAAATAAGTTTAGTTTTAAAATTATTTTCATTTCAGTTTTAATTTCATTCAGAGCCAAATCTCTGTTTATAGAAAAAGTCTAATTTTTCTCTAATTATTTTATATCTAAACTCAATTGAAGGCAATATCAAAATTTAAGAGAATTTTTAGACTTCGTTTTCGATTTTTTACACATTTTCAATCTCCCTTTATTGTGTCTCGGAGTAGACGCGAACGCGAGGCATATATCGATTCCGCTTGTCGCGAGGTCACGTAGATGATCGATTCTCTTCTCTCTCGTTTCGGCAGGCGGTGTTCGAGCAGCTGGTGGACATAATATGCGACAAGATGAGCGAATCTCTGGACAATGATCCAACCCTGATGGGGGCGGGCGGTATGGGTCAGAACAAGGGCCAACGGCTCACCGATCAGCCGACCAATCCAGCGAACGCTAACTGTAATTGCTAAAAAAAATGCGACGACACGCAGAAGAAGGAGAAAAACCGAGAGATCGTATTTTGTGCGTGTGTCTGCGCGCATGTGTGCACGTGTGTGTTACGTGTGTTAGAAAAAGGGAGAAAGAAGGAGAGAGAGAGAAAAAGAAAGAAAGGAGAAGAAAGTGTCGTGTGCGACGATGGTGTGTTAACTTACTTCGTCGTTCCCCCTCGTTATGTTATTTATTTTAAAATTCGCCTTTCGTTCTCACCTGTTTTCTTTCACTCTTTCTCGGCGCGAGATGATATATATGAATAATGTACGCTATAAATATATATATATATATACATAATGATTGTGATCATCGAGGTGGCAACCAAGTTAACCAACGACCGTCAAATGAACGGTTGCGGTTCTCCTTTCGGTTCATCCACTTGAGAGTCAAAGATGAACTTGATATAATTTCCGAAAGTTCCAATTTCCATGTTGCAGACACGCGAAAATGCATTTTCCATTTTGTGATTTCCAATAGTCGCATTTTAATTATCAGAAATAAATGTCAATTGTAATGATCATACAAATTCACGCTCTCGAAGATTAATTGAATTTAATTGCTTTTTTGAAAGCCAAAAGAAGCACAAGATCCAATTAGTCGCGGTTAGCATTAATCGTTTGGATAAAAATGATTTTTGGAGCAACAAAATAAAATTTTACAAAAATAATGAAAACTAAATCTAATTTAATTATACTTTTTATATTTTTCTATCGACAGAAAAAGTCTACGTTATGCTGAAATAATAATTTTGTTATTCTTTCGCTCAATGGCACATACGAAAAATGTTCTCACGTATCTGTGGCATCAAAATTTGAAACCAAAGGAATGATGGATATTTTAATTTTTGTTAATAAAAAGGGGAGAAGATAGTAAACCGCGAAGGAGGAAAATTGAATGAAGGTGCACTTTGTCGCGGTTGATTAATGACGACGATCGTTATAGCAGGGACGATGTTGCTCACTCGATGTTTGGCACTGTAGACTCACGCAAAAGTGAATGATTCCATGTCTCAAGATCACGCGTTAAGTAAGATACGCCCAGGAAAATCTGACAATAAGCGTCAATCACTCGATAAAACTTCACGAATTCAAAATGCCGATCAATCAGAGATGTAACAGAGTCGAATTAATCCTTCAGCTCCTCCTGTCTAATTTAATGTGAGCAAGGTAACATACGTAAAGTTCACGTTTTAATGTTGCTTGGAAGTTGCAAGCTGTTGTAAGCTGTTTAAGAAAACATATTATGCAAGAGAGTATTTATATTTAAATATTGTCATACATTTAATATTTAGCGATATTCTATAACAATTAGTGACATTATTGCAGCAGTAAAGATTCAGCGACAAATATAAGCACGTTTAAAACGTTCACGGAGACCAGGAGAAATTGAAGGATTAAACACAAAGGCGGTGCGTGAGCACGATTTAATTTATGTTAATATTTCGCGTTAATATTTATTAAATTTGATTTACGTTAATATGTAATTGAATGTGTGTTTAGCGAATTAAATAGATCTGACGATCGATCTATAATCGGATATAACCATAAACTGAAAAATTCAAACATTGAAAATAAAAGCAAAAGTTTCAAACATTGAAAAAAAAATATTTCAGCGATACGCTTTTAAAAAATTGTAAAGCTGCCCATTTCTAAAAGTTGAAGTTTACGTCTTTCTCTAAAGCGTTCTCTAAAGTATTTCTCAACCATTTTGACACACTTGAAGCGTTTTGTCCCGATCAATAGGTAGTGTTCGATTATTTATGGCGCAATCGATGATTCACTGACGTATACTCGCGTAATTTTCGTAATTTAGATATAAACTGTCTCGATGACGATGGCGACCAACATCGGTCATATGCACAATTTATTTTCGCTCACAAAATCTCGAGCATTTCAATCAAGCGATTCATATATTAAACTGCGTTTTTTCATTGCGACTGAAGTACATCGTCGGATATTTTAGCGAATATTTTAGCGTTCTATTAAGGATGACTATCATATTAAATCTTGGCACTGTTATTCATTAAAGTATCTTAATTCTCCGTGAACCAGGTGGGGTGTGACATATATATACCTCAGCAGAGGATGAATTTCTATAACTTCCTAAAAAGTACTGCGCGCATGTTGTCGGTTTCGTGCAACTAGAAAGTGCGTTGTTTCCAATCATACTAAATTATAGTATATTTATGATGAAGTATAGCATGAGGTATGAGGTATACCCACATATGGTCCATATTTGATGTTCCACTTGGTCCGAGGGTTAATTGCACTGTTAATACTAAACTTTTACTTTATTTTTCGTTACTCTTTGTACTCTTTAATTTATTTATATCTCGTCCCGTCTCGTTCAAAACGAAAACGGATATTTATAATATAAAAGCACATTAAGTGACAGATTATATAAAAAAAAAAAAAGAAACTGAGAGAATTTCTGTAGTTCTTGCTGTGTATAACTAATTATTCACGATTATCTATTAAATAAGCGACTCCGAGAACGATAAAATTGCGAGCAAAAGAGAATATCGTCGTCGGTAGACCGTAAAATTTAGACCGTTAGATCCCTGAGTTTTTCGAGACACTCTGTCAACGCGGTTATCACGTTCAATAATTATCAGTCAGCCACTTCACATTGTATCGTAATGGCACTCTCCCCGCGAAATTATTTAAAGTAGCAAGCATTAGCGAGCATTATTATCGGGATCGACGAAGGCCGAGATTGTAACAGGGCCGGATACAAATTCACTAAACTGTAAATCATTCAGAGGTACCAGCAGCATCGATCTGGCGTCAATTATCGAGGAGTTCCGGCGTCCCGCTTACTACTTCAGTCGTCATCCGGCGTTAAACCTACCTACTAGGTAAGCTGCCCTCTGTACATAAGTGAGATAATAAAAACAAAAAGGTATCTATCATGTATCATTGAATCTGTAACGAGGTGTAATGTACGCGTTAATTTAGCCGCGCGAATTTTTTCGCGAGAAACATGCCGGAGATTACGCGGCCCGCGACGTCGCGAGTGCACTGATCGATGCCCAATTAATCGATCACGAACCGTCGCGAATTAGCGAAACTGTCGACAACGAATGCGTCCTTGTGCAATCGGGGAACTGAGAATGAAAAAGAAAGGAAGATAGAGAGAAAGAGAAGCAACGTGTGTGTAAAAACGCGTGTTCGAAAAGCGTGGCTTATAAAGCTAGCATTGAGAACGAGTTAATTTCAACGAGTTCAATTTTTGCTGTAGATATGGAAAAAAAGATCTTGCAATTATCGTATTTCCATTTACAGATAAGTAGAGATCGTTCTACGTCTATTTTTGTCTACAGTATCAAAATCTGAACTCGTTGAAATTATACGGGATTTCAATCTGCTTTTTTATTAGGTCTCTCTCCTTTTCTTATACTTTTTCCACTTTGAGCGCGACAAGTAAAAGCAAAAGCAAGAATATGAGAGAAAATAGTGATTTTGGCAACGTGGTATGGTTTTATCCTCCTTTAAAAAAAATAGAATTTTAAAATGCAATGTAATGTTTAATTTGAAGTATTCAAATCTACATAAAATTGAAAATACAAATATAATGCAAATATATCATATCCTAGTAAACACAATGTTACGTGTAACGTACATGTAACATAAAATCTCAGCTCAACAAGATAACTGTAATATAATACACTGTGTTATATTACAGTTATCTTGTTGAGCTGACATTTCATGTTACATGTAACATTATGTTTACTGAGATATGATATAATTACTATAAATACATCGACAAAATAAAACATCAATTTCAAGATCTAAAATTGCAATAAATGGAAGGATATCTCATATTCCTACTTTCTTTTTTTTATGTGCATATTTTTGGCGAGAAGAAAATGTGCAAGTGTAGAAAGCGCAGATAAAGAGGACCGACCTATCGATGTAATCTAAATACTGATCAATAAAATGGTAAGAGAGAGAGAGAGAGAGAAATTTTTCCGGCTGTCGCGGGCATCTGTATGTATGTATCATTGTACGGTGTGTAAACTGTACTATATATATACGCCTAATATTAATGATAACTACATTAATGATAAAACGATAATCCGCTAATACACTCCACAAACATTAATGCAAGAGCAACAAGGAAACACACATACATATACATGTGGAGAAGGAGAAAACAATCACATCGCAGGCGTCACGTTGAAAGAAATCATTTGTATAACAGAACAAGTTGTACTCTAAATAAGCTGTATAATTGTAGCAAAAGTCAATCATGGATGTTCTCAACGACTGCTACGTCGTATATGTTAATTGTACGTATATGTGCACAATCCGACGCAGATCCCGAGAGAAACAGAGAGAGAGAGAGAGAGAGAGAGAGAGAGAGAGAGAGAGAGAGAGAATGAGAAGAATGAAAGAGAGAGAAAAAGAGAGTGAGAGAGAAAGAAAGAATGAGAGAATGTAACATGGCAAATACTTTGAGAATCAGATGTAGCGACAAATGTAAACGATATACATATATACATATATATATTTAAACAAAGAAACGACGGAGAGAGCTAATTGTGAATTGCATATGCATGTGTTGTGTATGTGCGGTGCAAGCACTGGAAGAAATCGGTGAAAAAAAAAAGAAGGAAAGAAATGAGCAGTGGAGTAAATCTATAATTTGCAACATGTGTACAAATCATTGACAAACAATTCGGAGGACCAATTGGTAGGTAGTTGGTGATTGCGCTTATCGCGATCTTACCCAAAAGAGATATTCTGTTAGTCTTCACAATCCGCCATTACCGCCTTGCAGAAAAGTTGGTGAATTAGGATTAATTCAAAGGAAACTTCTCTATAGAAATAATTTTACGAGTTTGTAAAATGATTTCAAATTTTTCAATCCTTTTCTTTCCATTACAGAAATATTCAGAAAAGTTTGAATCTGCTTTAATAAAAATTAATTTCTGATATTTAAAATCGAAAATTCGAAAAAATTCTCTTAATCCTGGTTAAAAAATTTACCTATTTTCTACAAAGCGATCGCGTCTCATCAATCACTGAATCCTCCGGTAAACTCGCAAAATATTTTTTCGCAAAGGTATGTACATACCTATCTTCGTAATATCTTCGCTCACGTCGCAAAAGAATTATTGGATGTCTCGTCAAACGCGACAATTCCGAGAACTTCGTCTTTTTGCCAGAAAAATGTCGAGAAGCGACATCACCGTTGATTCTTTGTGCGATCTGCGATCTTACGTACTACATTCCTGCCTTGGCATAGCGCATATCGTGAAAAGGTTTCGGTCACCGTCGCGTCGACCAAATTGCGATTGATCGCGTTGGAGAGCGACTTCCCCTGGAATTGGAGCTTCATTGTACGCCAGTGTATCAAGCATCGATCGTATAGACAGAGAGCTTAATTGTATAGAAACAAATACAGTCAGCGATCGATTTTCTCCACGGGAGTAACGTGCCGCTTCTTGCGTTTCTTTCTCCAATGAACCCGCTTGATCGAACGTCCCTCGATAGAAGGAAGGTAAGAATAACATAAAAAAACGAAGATACATAGAGATTGCTGCAAATATCTAAGTGAACAATTATTTAACGATATGAAATATCAATATATGACGACATTAGCATATTTGCTTTTATTAAACGATTTTGATGATTACTGTTTTACTAATTATCTCAGCGAATTC